CTTTCACGGGGTTTTCAGAGGCTGAGTTCTCAGGAGAGGGCCAGGCCCTCCCCCAAGAACAGTAGCTTTTGTGAAACAGAGACCTTCTGTTTGCCATGTGCCCTTTAAGGTTCATTGTGTGCATAAAGGCATTGCGAATTGTAGTGACATGTGAAATATGGAAAGATCATAGGATCAGGGGTCAGAAGACTGGGGCTCTTAGTCAACTTTTTCTGCTCATGAATTATGCAATTTTGGGGAAATTTTTAATCTTGCTAAGTTTCAGTTACTTTTCCATCACATGGCAGAAAATGATGGTGTTTCAGTGAGAGCATGCGAGAGACACAGCTAGCACAGCGTAGAAACGTGGTGCATATGAGTTTGCATCCTCTTCTTTCTGCTGTAAATGACTTTCTAACAACAGGGATCATGCCCCTAGACTTCCTAGCCTGTGACTCAGGTCAAAACTTTAATCACAGAAAAGTAGTAGAGATTGCGTAGCACTTGTAGTTAAAAGACCTGTAGTTAAAAGCAAGTCCTGGCCTTGCTTTCCTGGGCTCACTGGTTAGTGGCTTCCTTGCAAAGTAGACAATCCTGTCTTCCCATAGTGCCGCTGTGACGTTCACATGAGGTGATAGCAAAAGGAAGTGCACCTTGGAAATGGAAACATACTGTGATTTCTTTTTCCTTTTTTTTTTGGCCTCCTAGCCACAAAGCCCACTGCTTGAAACATGGAGCAATCTCATAAATGTCTAGAAAGATCCTAGGAGTAAGTTAGGAATACATTCTTTTCGTTCTTCGATATATGTGACATCGCAGCTGTGAGGCCTACATTCTTTGAAGGTTCTATTATCTACCCTGATCTTATAGTGTGCCCTCATTTCTAAAGGGAAGGGATTTCCCCCACTCTTCTAGTCACGAAAATTGGTCAAGGATCAGAAGTCTGTGAGAAGACTTTGTTAGACCCCACTGAGGCAAGATGATTAAACACTTAGCAGGGATCCATTTGTTAAGAGGCAAAGGAAATCTTATTTCCAACAAGGAGAAGTTCCAGGGAACCTGGACCCAGACCCAAGTGTGCTATTGTTCATCTGATCAAGGAGCTGAAATTCAAATTAACTTATGAGGGGGCTTCAAGAAGTTGTGAAAATAATTCCAATACCTTTCAATTCCATTTTCCCATGAACTTTTTGAAGCTCTGTCATACTTAGCACCATTAAAACAAACATTTCCTATTATAAGGTGATTAATAAGGGATGTGAATGGTACTCTTGGGAATTTCTGGAAGAAACCAGAGACTCTCACCTTCCTGGACACCGCCATGCCTGAGGGGGCCCTAACCTCAACTGTTCGGCACTCTCAGAACAAGCTGGGTAAAGCCACACTCTCCAATCTGAGAATCAGTGGTCTTGCTAAGCGCTGAGGAGCACCCACATGTTGGTGTGTTTGTCATTTTCAACCATCAAGGTACTGGTTTAATACTTTCTAATAGATTTAGGAACTGATACTTATTGGCACATTTGGGTTTTAAAATATTTTAACATATATTTTTACTTTGTTTTATATTTTACTTTAAAATAACTTTCAAAACATAAAGCAATAAAATTCACCTTTGAACACTGAAGCACAGAGGGCAATATAAAAGTGGTAATAACTACCACATCACTCAGGTTGCCAATTTCACTTTTATAGGTGCATAACATGAATTTGATCTATGTGAATAAGTAATAATATTTATAACATCCTTTGACACCTTAATTGATGTACCTGCTAGTCACCTACCAGCGAAGGTCTGATGGAGCTAAATCTCAACAGTGGCACTTTGGAAAACAATGGCAAATGATGACACTGGAGTATGACTAGGAGAAGGCAATGAGGCATAATCAGGAAAGAAGGGCTTTGAAATGAAACAGACTTAAGTGCGAGTCTTGCATCAGCCACTAGCTATGTGACTTTGAACGAATTACCCACAGTTCCTGAACTGTATGCTGGCCAGGTTTCAGCAGAGCTTCCAGATGAAAACAAACTAGGAAGAAAGATCTGGTGATTTATTATTCAAAACCCATCAGTAGAAAGCAGACAGCACAGGACTGGGCAGCATTTTCTTCCATTTGGCGTGTGATCACCGTGAGTCAGGGATGACCTCTTGAAAGCAGCTAGCAACAACCGCAACCACAACATAAACACTTCCTGCAACTGACAACTGAAATGTCACTCAGGTGGCCTTGACGTCAGTTCACCTCAAGTCTGTCACTTGTCCTTGCCTCCATCCTCCAAACCAGGCCCTGTGCCCAGCACTCAAACATCGATAAGGAAGGCCTTATCCCTTTCTTTAAAGAACGTATGGAAACACGCATGAAAAAACTATGGACATATAAACATAGGAATAAAGAAGTTTGGCTAGTTGTTTCTTTCCTCCCTTATGGACAAGAGCCACGTATACAAACTATACAGAAATATTCCAGGAGAATGGTTTTAATAAAGGCAGCATGCTTTCAACCAAGGTAGCAAGCACCCTGTCTTTGCAAGAAAGTATGGTAGGCTTTGATACACACCTAAGTGAACAGAATACCAGTATATTGCCTTCTCACGGGGAACTCACGATACTCTCCTACTCACATCAAATGGATGGTGAGTGGCGAGAAAATGCTTGAACATACATGGGGTCATCATTAGACAGAATCAACTTGATGGCAGTGGGCACCAGTTAAGGGAGAGCAGGTGTTATCAGAAAAATTGTTATCAGGAGAGGAATACGATTTATAAAGACTTGAGCGACAGAAATAGCAAGGTGTGTTTTCTTTCTTTCTTTCTTTTTTTACAATTCAACTGGCAGTGCATTTTCTTTCTCATTGGTGCCTAAATAATAAAACGTCTTAACATCAATGGCATAATGAAAAGAGAGCATTAAACCTTTAACAGGAGAAAACCCAAATCTGGTCCCATCAAATTGATTCTCATTTGTGGTGACCCCTGCACTACAGAGTGAAACTGAGTTTCAGGGGGTTTTAGGAGTTATGGTCTTTACAGAAGTAGATTGCTGGCTTTTCTATGCAACTTCAGCCACTGTGTGTATTTGTTTTACTCTGTGACTTAGAAGGAGGAAGATGAACAGAGTTATGATACTTGAGATTCACCCACCTCTTGGCTCTGCACAATTTTACTTAGAGACATCTCAGCAAGGTCTTCTATAATTCAGGACTACCAACACTTCTGACTCAAATTGGAAAAGCATTAGATAAATAAAGCTAGAATAAAAAAGGATGCACCGACTGAAGACTGGTGGATCTTAACACTATCGTCATTTGTCAAGTGAAGAATCACCAGGTTCAAAAGGGGTTGGAAATACATAAACACTCAGGTTGGTCTGGATTTAGACTCTTTCAAGCTGGCCGACTCCACTCATCTCCAGTCAGTGCATCTCCTCTTCCAGTTGAGTTGTTAACTCAGTTGGGTCGTTCACTCAGTCCAGTTGTTAAGTCCTCTTCCAGCTGGGTTGTAAAGAATCACGCCACGCATCCTTTTGTGGCAAGAGTGAAGAAATGGACTTTCTACCGTGTCTACTAGGAGGTTTCCACAGGCTGAAGAATTTTCTTCTTAGGGAACTGTACAGGCAGGGTAATTCCTGCCACTCAGGGCTTTAAACTATTTCTTCCTGGTTCATTCAGAGCCAGTGAAGCAAAACTGGATGGAACTGAATTTGTAAAATGTGGGTGAGCCAAAGTGATTATTGGAATGTGAAAAAATAGGAGTTGTCTCCCTGAGAGACGCTTAATCCCCTTCTTAAAAATCAAGGGCAGTGTGTGCATTGCATAGCAACCAAACCTTTTGACAGCCAGAGTCAGAAACAATGGCGCTGCTTCAAAGATGGCATCTGATCAGGTAGCTGTGAATGTGTGTCACCTTGCACAGTCCTGGCAATAATCTGATCTTCCATATTAGGCTCTTCGAAGGGCTCACGATGCCTCCTGTGAGTCTCTTATTCCAAGGATTCAACCAGTGACATTTCCCTTTCGGGTTATGGCTTCAGGATATTGACATGTAACGAATTCTGATCTGTTCCGATTTTGCTGGGTTGACTATGACTGAGCCAGTTCCAAGGCCTGCTGTCATTACAGTCTATTCTCTGGCTGCTAATAGCATCCTGGCTTGGTCAAGGGAATTTGTTCAAGGCATTGTGTATTTAGGCAGGGATGAGAGTGAGAGAGAGCTACGTATTTTACTCAATGGTCATCACCCGAAGTCCCACATATGGACAGACTCTTCTCACCTGGCCCCTGAAAACAATGAGTGTAATAGGAACAGCCACTCCTGATATCATAGAGAATGAAGCAAACGGGCCGACTAGGAACACCTGCCAAGGGGATCTGCTTCTGGCACAGACCTCAGGTGGACTGCAGACAGGTCTGTAGAAGCCTTTTGAAATGAAACAGGACTCTTGAAACTCTCATTATAATCATATCTGTGCTGCCAGGAAATGCAGCCAACGGCAGCGAGCGGTCTATTAGATTTCCCATCCTCCCGAAGCCCACGCTGCACTGCAAAACGAGGGAGCACCTGGCAGTTGTCAGAGCTGGAGCGCACATGACTGGACTTCCATTTTGACGGTGAGGAGGGGGCATTGATAATTCATCAACAGCAAATTCCTCCGTGCCCGTGCTCACTGTCCTTTTCAAAGTATGTTTGCATACCTTAGTATCTTGTTCCAAATGCAAAACAACGCACTGCGGTGGAGATTTTTGCTTTCGCTTTGCAGATGAGCAAATGGAGCCTCAGAAAGGTGAAGTGCCTTGACCCAGTCCACAGGGGAACGAGGAC